AAGGGGAACTGAAATCAGTTTCCCTGCAAGAGCAGCACATACTCTTATTTGTTGAGTCATCTCTACAGCCCCCAGATCATTTGTTTAGTTATTACATTTAATAATAGTCACCAGTGTTTGAATCACTAAACTCTTATATTAACTGTGCTTTTTTAGGTAAGTTTTAAACTGATGCTCCCACTCTTCAGTTTGTCTGCTGCCCTTTCCCAAAGTCACAAGCGCTGGAAAACATTATTTCCTTCTTAGTTGTTAGTTTAGCTACAGTACATTTTCAACTGACTTAATTGGCTATGTGGGACACCATCCCTATTGCATAAGAAGTTTCTCTATAGCAGATCCTCTCACTCATGACTTTAAATTGCTTTGGGATTTGGGATGCAATTATAATAGCTGTTGCATAATAAATATTTATTTTGACACATCTATGGAATCTGGAATACTTGTTGAACCTTAAGAATACTGAAGTCAATTCTACAAAAATGTAGCTGGTTCCAATAAGGAGGTAGAAATTCATCACTATATGGGTGAGTCAATAGAGCCTTTTTGTAACTAAAGGCATTAGCCATCATGTATTAATAACACAAATGGCCTGAAGCCATATAGGAAGCAATTTATTTTCCAAAGTATATTTGTGGATTACTATATTATATTATAATGTTATATTTAAGTTTATATATGTATATGTAACTTCACACTATTTAATTTTTTTTTATCATATGTAATATGTGGGAAAGATTGAGGTATTTTTACACCATTTCCAAAATGAGGAAAACAGGTTATAGAATGAAATGGAACCTGGAACTGAGGTTGTGATTCTAGTCTGAGCACTCTTCCTGGAAGCTAAACCTGTTTCCCATGTATTTCACTGAGTGTTGGGTGACCCCTGTTACCACTAGAGCTTAAATCAGTGATTATCTAGTGACTGTAGCTTCTTCATACTCACTAAGAGAAGCTGAAAAGTAAAGTCTGCTGAAAGCCAACAATTTGGGCACAGAAATTGCCCTGGAATTGAAGACATAAATGCTGCAAGTCCAGAAAATAAAAGTTGATGTGTTCAGTTAAAACCTTACACCATGTCCAGTCACTGTGTTTTATTTAGGAGAAAAGGGATGAGCAAGAGAGTCAAGCTCCTCTCTCCTGACTCTTACTTCTCTCTCACAGGAGTGAACCCACTCGGAGAGCCAGGAGTAAAAAAGAAACAAAGAGGAGAAAACATGCTTGGTTCTGGGTGGGTCTGAATAGAAAAGGAATTTTAGCCAAGGAGGGCAAGTCTGAGACAGTGACAGGAGAAGCCATTTAGGTCATCTAAGATGAGTCATCATGACATTTGTCTGGATGAGGAAGGTGGGCAGCCTAGGCCTCCAAAGTGATCTGACTAGGAGCATGGCCATGTGTCTTGGTAAGTTAACCTGTCTTCTTCCTTTTTCATTTCTCTTCACTGATCTTTCTGCTCATGTCTACGATGCAGTGGTCCTTGAGCAATTTCTGAAATGTACTCGAATTTGATTTACCAGGTACTGTTAGGTAGGTATAAAATCATTGACTCCTTTCTCCGGGCACTGCTTAGTTGATTCAACATTGTGACCGATTTCTCTGTATATCTTGTTGACCACTCTCTGTTGCTGACAATAGGATTTCTTTTGAAATCCCATTTAGTGGGACCAGTTAGGTAGGTGAGCCAGTATTGTGAGGGGATTCTTGTCTCTTGCTGTTATCTACCTGACTGTGGCCTGTAGAACTACTTCCCACATTCTGTTTCTGTCCCTGTCCCTATCTGACTCTCTCCCTCTCTTCCTTCCTCATCCTTTCCTCCCTATCTCTCTCCTTCTCTATTCCCTCTTCCTCTTCTGCTGCTCTGTTCTTAAACTGAATAAATAATATAAGTTATTAATTCCTGTGGGACACCATTTTTTTTACCTTTAAGATTGCCTTTGAATGTCTTTCTCTTCAAGGTGTGAATGTGTTGATTACTATAAAAATTAATCCATTGCAAAGGACAGTTCTTCTTAGTGGGATGTCTGACTCCTAATATTTGCTTAGTAATTTTCTGAGTTACTAACACAGAAAAACATATGTCACATGTGCTATTCACCCATGCAGAACTTCCTTCCTCTTGTGATTGTTTTGTTGAAGGCAAACCCAGTGGTGATTACAGAATGAGCCATTTTATAGTCTAGTCAGCATTCAGTGACATTTCCCCAGATTCATGTAGCTCAAGTCTCATAATACTGTATAATAGGATGTTAGGGTTAGGAGGTAGCTGAAGTCACAAGCTTCTTTTTTTTTTTTTTTTTTTTTTTTGCTGCTTTCTATTGATGAACCCTCAACCAAAAGTAGCTCCAAGTTCCTCTAATATCAGAGACTTTCTTTGGTCCCCATTTACTACTCTCCTAGATCTGTTTGCCATCAAATTCTTACAAAGACAGCCTCATACGGAATGAATTTCTGGTCATCTGCCTGCCACGAGTCAGCTTCTCACATTACATTTGTCCAGCTCCTTTTCTTTTTGAAACCCATGTAATCCTTTCCATGATTCTAGATCCAGAATGTCTAAAACATTTCTTTTTGTCTTGCTTGATGATTTATTTCCCATAAATGTCAACCTCCTTGGAAGATCTATAATTTGGACCTAAGATACAGTATATAAGCATCCATAATATATCTTTATATGTACTTTTCCAGGATTATAATTTGAATTGTCAACCTCCTATTGGCAATGCCTTCCATTATTCTTTCATTTACTCTTATTGTGTTTGGAATGAGGGAATGAGATTGACATCAAGGTAATCCATTAGCAACATAAAAACAGCATAGTTTACTAAAAATTGATTCTTCATTTATAAATTTGTCTTTTAATTTTTTTAGTATTTAACATTATGTATATTTGGAATTTTTCAGAAACTTTAGAAGTACAGCATCTAAAATTTTTGCTCAGGGTTCAAAAAAAGAACTACAAATAAGAAAGGAAACTAAAATCCGAGGGAAAAAGGAATTGACTCACACACAATTGCTCCTCTGCATGTTCTTTATTCTTCTTCTGTTCTCTTTCTCTCCTGCCCTTCTGTTTCTCTGTTCTATCTCTGAATTTCTTTGTCTCTCCAATTCTTGTCTCTTTCTCTCTAACTCTTTTATGTTTCTGTTGTCTCTCCATTTCTCCCCAGTTTTGGGGGTTACAGGTATATATACATTTGCAGCAGTAATTCTTTTTACAATACAATGTGAGGCTTGAGTTTCTCAGGGTCAGCAAAACAGACAAGACACATAGAGCAATAAACTAAAACTGCTAGGAGAAACTTTTAGCATCAATTACTTAGGGCTGTAGTCAAAGAAAGGGACTATGTTTAATTTGCACAAGAAACAAAACCTGGTGCCTTCCAGTGCTCTAGCCTCAGTGGCAGCACAGGCCTTTAGGGAAGTTTACTTTTCCCTGAGGATGAGCAAATGGACTGATTAACTTTGTCTTTATCTTCTCAGGGGAAACAGGAGGGAACAGTAAATCTCTGAGCTAAGATCTTGAGTTAATACAAGAAGTTTGAGAATCTTTTAGTGCCGGGTTAGTTTTGGTTATCACTTCTCTATATTTTTTTTTCTATCCATCTAGGCAGCTATAAAACAAAAACTTTGGACATGTAGTAATTCTATGTGTTTGGATATTTGGGAATGTCTTATATGGGATGCTTTTGCCTGGGCACTAAACATTGACCAAATGGCTGTCAGTAAAGGTAATCACAGGAAGACAGATCTCTGCAATTGCAGTGGAGAGGGGAACAAAGACCTGAGAGTGGGGAACAGGTCTCATGCATAGCTAAGAAACGTTATCAATAAACTATGACCTCTTAATGGAGAACAGGTATTTACACTTGGCTAGGGAGTATAATCAGTGAAACTCCAAATGCATGGGAGAAATGTGTTCCCAGTGCTGAATTGTGGGAAATAAACCCCAAGTTTGTTACAGAAAGGAATAAGCTACAGGAAGAATCTACAGCAAGACACAGCCAATTCATTCACAACATTATAACGCTTTGTACTGGCTTCATCCATTAGAAGAATCCTTAATTCTTCTAAGTTATTCATGATACAAACAGTGTACAATTACTGTGTGATCTTTTGGCTTACAGCAGGAGTTATCGATAAAGTGCAAGAGAATTATTGTTCTTGGATCTCTGAAAGTTGTTATGCCAGCCTATGTAATATGGCAAAAGGAAACAGATTTGAATCAGAAGGCAATCAGAAATGTTTATTCCACGAACTCTGTGTTCATTTAAGCCTTGCATTATTACTATTGTTTACTTAAACAAGTGAATCACCGAGATGAACTCTCATGCTGCAGAACAACAACAATAAAAAGGATTGTGTTACACTGTACCAAGATTCTTCATCAAAATTTGTGGATCCTGTCTGTGTAGTGATCACAGGAGCCATCAGAGACGATGAGAAAAGTGGGTTGAAATGTGAAAATAGTAGCCATGCTTTTGATATGATGCAAAATTTTAGCTTATACCACTTAATTTCTTTTGAGTAAATGCTGATAAAATAAACTACTAAAGGGGGCAATTACTGTTTGCTATATCAGGAATAAAAATAAATATTAAAAACAAATTCGCTATAAAATTTTGACTATTGTCAATAACTGACTCATATTACAGTGTTTTTTGAGTAGAGTTTTCTTGTTTTGTTTCTTCTTCATTGCTTACTTACTAGGGCAGATGAAATGAAGAAATCAGCGGTATGGTGGATAATTATTCAAGGGTTTCAGAAACCTAAACTTAGGAATGTATACTCAACAAGAAAGCATTGCTTTTTAATGTATGTTTTATATTGATAGTCATATGTTGGCAATTAGCATGTGTACTTCCAAGATGCCCAATTTCACTGTATTTTAATAACACAATATTGAATGTATCAATGCCAGAGATTCAAAAAGGAACTATTACTAATAGATGAAAAATTATTTTTCAGGTACTTTGTATCACTTTTTGTGGGGCATTGGATTTGTTTCATGGTAGGTCATGATGGCTGAAAGTGGATGGCATGGATGAAAATAATCAGACATTTGTTTCCGGATTCCTTCTTTGGGGACTTTCTGGATACCCAAAGACTGAGATCATTTACTTTGCTCTTATTCTGGCTATGTACCTAGTGATCCTAACTGGCAATGGTGTTCTGATCATAGCAAGCATCTTTGATGCCCGTCTCCACACACCCATGTACTTCTTCCTGGGCAACCTCTCTTTTCTGGATATCTGCTACACAACTTCCTCTGTTCCCTCAACTCTGGTGAGTCTAATCTCAAAGAAAAGAAACATTTCTTTCTCTGGTTGTACAGTGCAGATGTTCTTTGGACTTGCAATGGGATCGACAGAATGTTTCCTTCTTGGCATGATGGCTTTTGATCGATATGTGGCCATCTACAACCCTTTGAGATACTCTGTCATCATGAGCAAAGGAGTGTATGTATCAATGGCATCTGTATCATGGTTCTCTGGTGGAATCAATTCAGTCGTGCAAACATCCCTTACAATGCGGTTGCCTTTCTGTGGGAATAAAGTTATCAATGGTTTTACATGTGAGGTATTACCTGTCCTCAAGCTAGCTTGTGCTGATATATCTCTCAATATCATTACCATGATGATATCAAATATGGCCTTCCTAGTTCTTCCACTATTGGTCATCTTTTTCTCTTACATGTTCATCCTCCATACCATCTTGAGAATGAATTCAGCTACAGGGAGACGCAAGGCATTTTCCACCTGCTCAGCTCACCTGACTGTGGTGGTCATATTTTATGGAACCGTTTTCTCTATGTATGCAAAACCCAAGTCCCAAGATCTGACTGGAGAAGACAATTTTCAAACTTCTGATAAGATCATTTCTTTATTTTATGGAGTAGTTACCCCCATGCTCAACCCAATCATCTATAGCTTGAGGAATAAGGATGTTAAAGCTGCTGTAAAGTACATACTGAAACAAAAGTATATTCAATAAGGATGCCAGTAAACAGAGGTTTTTGTGTGGCATGCACAAGATTGACTCAGGGGTAAATCTTTGAGAATAGTGTAATTTTTACTTATTCAGGAATAAATCTATGAGAACAATCTAATTTTTACTTGTTTATTATGGAAAAATCTTTGCTACTTGGTTATACCTCTAGAGATGGAAGGTAAGTCCCTATTGCTGAAGATGCCATGCACTTTAGGAACAGAGCCCAGAAACTCCTGAGTTGAAACTGACCTAAATGCCCATCACTGAGAACTAGCTTTCATGGTATCAGAAAGTACCATACAATCTTCCAAAGAAGGAAGACCATCAACAGTCCTACTCAATATGATGTCTATGAACCATTTCAATAACCAACATGTACAATAACCATAGGGTTGCAGTAGTGGCACACATACCTTGGTGGTTAACAACAGTTCTGTAATTAGACTTAAGAACCATTCAACAAAAGGGAGATCATGCCTGGTTCTAGAAACCAAGCTGACTAGTCAGTGCTAATGAAATATAGTTATTGAGAAGAATCTACCACCACCAATTTACTAAAGCGGCACAGTGTCTAACAACAATCTATAACATTTGTCCTTGTATCCACAGATAAATATATTTGTAACTGCTCATTAAGGAAACTTTTCTTTTGCAAGGATCACAACCATCGATATGTAGAGTTGTGGAGCCCAGCACCATTGGATGTATCTACCAAACACTTCCACACATAAGGCTCAGGGGGCACTGCCAATGAAGTGGCTGAAAGATTGTGAGAGCCAGAGGCTCAGGTACTTTTCTGTGAGGTTGTATCTCCTAGTAACCAGAAACTACACCCATAAATTCTCATTACCATGATTTCCCAGATGTTAGCTAAATAAACATGTCACCTACAAACATGTCAAACTGCACAGGGAAAGGCTCAACAGGCCTCAACCCTTCACAAAGAACTGTAAGCAACTTAGTAAATTTGGCAGTAGGAGAGGTGGCTCTCACCTGAGAAGAACACACCACTCAGTTGTCCAGGTCCAAATGGTCATCCTTGAAGACATACATATAGGTAGCATTATATGCATTGAACAGTTTATATTCATCAGTATATGTATATAAATATGTATATATGCATACAATAACAATTTCTGAAAAAGGCCATGCAGTTGAAAGGGAGCCAGTAAGGATATAGAAGAGGTTTTAGAGGGAGGATATCGAAGGGAGAATTGTTGTAGAATAATTGTAATCTCAAGAAAATAAAATAGAATACAGAGAATTCTTGGCTAGTGAGATATTTTTATTCTTTCCCTTGATTAATCAATGTAGGGAGACACTGTAGCCCCGCCTCCTAGTAGCCCAGACAGGTGTACCGGGACACGTAGGTAAGGGCATGGTGAGGGTAAGTCTAAGGTGACGCTTGGCACACTTTGGCTTGCACTTGGCTGGTGTTATCTGAATAAAGAAACCTTAGCCTTAACGGACTGTGGATTGATCTCTCTTCAAATCAGGCTCAGGTAAGTACTATAGTTGCTTCAAACTGATCTTCCAACATATCTTGTTCTCATAAATATCATGACTCCTATTATAATCCTATCATTTATTACATCTGAAGTACATGCTTCCATTGTGTTACATGGAAACATGAAAGAATGACCACATCCATACTCAGAAGCAGAGAGACCAGTGTACAAATGCTTCTATTCCCCAAACTCTAATCAATTTTTCATTAGATTATTAATCTTTCAAATAGTGAATTAATTATTAGTGATAAACATGTAAAGGTCCTAGTATCATTTGCTGTTTCATTAAGTTAGGAAACAAAACTACAGGGACCAGTGTCATAGCACATTATATTTCAGAAGTGAAGCTCAGATGCTGCAGTGAGGAATCACAGTTAATCTTTCTTTTTACTAAGTTTTTGTTAATTCTTAGTGGATTTCACATGATGCATCTCGATATCTCTCATCTCCTCTACCTTTGTAACACCCCCCCCCCAGGAAAACAAAGTAAAATTTAAAAGAAAAGAGAAATTGCAAAAGAAAAATCTCACCATGGAAGCTGTAGTGTGACACACTAATGAATACCATTAGTCAATACATCTTTTTGTGTGTGTGTATGTGTGAAAGCCTGGTGGCATGTATTTGAACCCAAGAATCAGATAAATATGCACATTTCATATATAAGCTGCCAAAAACATATATGAAAAAAGATACATACAATTAATTACATACAATTATATGAATTATAATGTAGGACAATAAGTTTAGTGGCAAACTCTCTACTTCCTTGCTGAAGAGAGAAGGAAATGGATGCCAATAATGAACCACAATTGTTAAGACAACAGTCAATGTCATCTATTTCTCAATAGTTTTCTCCAAATTTATGCTAAAATACTGTGAATAGTAGCTTGCAGTTTCCAATATTCCTCCTGTATTGTATTGCCTATATATGCCTGTAGATATATTTTCCTAACTGCTTCTTTCACATGTTTATAAATATGTGTCAGGAAAACTTTAGAAGAATTCTTAAACATATGTTGTTCTATTTCACTAGAAAATTGCCCAAAATACACACGTGTTTAAGTCTCATTATTGTCCTGCATTAATTTATCTTGTTTCAAGTATTGTCCAATAATTCTCAGTCTGCAGACTTACTTGTGTGTCTGTTGGAAAAGCTGCTTTGAATTGATTGACACAGAGGCTTCTTCTATGACTGAGGATGGCCCTGCAATGTGATTTACTGAATATGAGATTTCTCTGTGCCTTTTCATTAACCATGGTATTATTGAGGTTCTGTCTGTTATGAACACTAGTTACATGTTGTTTTTCTTTTTTGTTTTTTTTTCAGATGTTTTTTATTTGAATTAGAAACAAGATTGTTTTACATGTCAATCGCAGTACTCTCTCCCTCCCCTCCTCCTCTACTCCCCACAACTAAAACCTTACTTATCACATATTCTTTCTGCTCCCCAGGGAGGGTCAGGTCTCTGTATTTCCTGATAGTTTACCCAGCTTTTCTGTTTCCATAATTCCCTCATTTTGTGTTTTCTTTATTGCCTCTATTTCAGTTTTCAGGTCTTGGAGAACTGTTTTTTTGTTTTTGTTTTTGTTTTTGTTTTTGTTTTTTTTTTTGTTTGTTTGTTTTTTGGCTTTCCTTAAGAGATTTGTTAATTTCTTGCATTTTTTGGTTTGTTTATTCTTCCACTTCTTTTAAGGGATTTTCTCATATCCTCTTTGAGGGTCTCTATGTTTTTCATGAAGTAGTTTTTAAGGTCATTCTCTTCTGCTTCATCTTTGTTGGGGTGTTCAGGTCTTGCTGTTGTAGAGTCCCTAGACTCCCATGCTGTCTTAGTAGTTTTTCTGTTGTTGAATGTGTTTTTATATTGTCTTCTTAGCATCCCTTCTTCCAGTGGGTGCAGAAGGAGTCTCTTCCTCTCCTGGTGGGTATGGGACCAAGGTTACTTTTTGGTGGGCATAAGCAGGTCCAATACTCTGATGGTTCTCTTCTTCCTTGTCCATGAGCAGTGAAAGGGATTATGTCACTGGCTGGGTGGTCTGGATCCTGCTGGGATGGGATCTAAAGTCCCCAGGCCTTGGGTGGCTCTGAGCAGGGTCCAGAATAAAAAAATTAAATACATATATAAAAGATTTCTGATTTGATTTTAAAAGGAAGATTAAGAGTTGTCAACTGACAAGAATGGCCCCAGCAGAAATTTCCTCCTTATGGAAAGATAGTGAATATTGGCAAAGAGCTTGTTGTAACTTTTTGGGAATAATTAGCAACAATTATCCCAAAAGTGAGAGAATAAAATTCATAAAGAAAACCATTTGGATCCTTCCTCTCATTGTAATGAAAACACAAATCTCTGGACTCCCTACATTCTACAGTGATGCAAACAAATCAGGGAAGGCAAGATATAAGCCAGGAAATACAAGTAAAGTGGTTCAAAGCAAACCTCAACAGATACAAAAATAAATTGGAATAACCTCCTGTATCTTATTGGATCACCATGCTTTAATGTTAGAATTCAACAACAGCACAAATTGCAGAAAACCTACAAACTCATGGAAATTGAACAATGCTCAATTACATCACCCCTGGGTCCAGGAAGAAATAAAGAAAGGAATTAAAGGCTTCCTATAATTCAATAAAAATGAAGGCACAACATACCCAAACATATGGGACATTTTGAAAGCAGTGCTAGCAGGAAAGTTCATAGTACTAAGTGCCCACATGAAGAAACTAGAGAATAGTCACACTAGAGAATTAATAGCATACCTGAAAGCTCTAGAAAAAAAGAAGCAAACTCACCCCAGAGGAGAAGATGCTATGAAATAATCAAACTGAGGTCTTAAATCAATAAAGTAGAAACATAGAAAACAATACAAAGAATCAACTGAACAAAGAGTTTGTTCTTTGAGAGAATCAACACGATAGACAAACCATTATCCAAACTAACCAAAAGGCAGAGAGAGGACATACAAATTAACAAAATCAGAAGTGAAATGGGAACATATAAATGGAAACTGAGGACATCCAGCAAATCATCAGGTCATACTTTAAAAATGCTGTAGTTCAAAAAATTGGAAAATTTATGGGAAATGGACAATTTTCTTGATAGATATCACTTACCAAAATTAAATCAAGAACAGACAACCAATTTAAATAGACCTATAACTGTTAATGAAATAGAAACAGTCATTAAAAGTCTCCCAACCAAAAAAAGTCCGGGGCCAGACAGTTTAAGTGCAGAATTCTACCAGAAATTCAAAGATGAGCTAATACTAATACTCCTCAAAGTGTTCCACACAATAGAAGCAGAAAGGTTATTGCCAAACACTTTTTATGAGGCTACAATTACCTTGGTACCCAAACTACACAATGACACACCTAAGAAAGACAAATATAGACCAATATCCCTCATGAATCTTGATTCAAAAGTACTCAATAAACACTGGCAAATACAAGATGGTGCTGCAGAAACTGGAAGAAGCAGTTGACCTGACCAAGTGAGA